ATGGAAACTTCGAAAGAGTTGTGGAACGCACTTGAAAAGAAGTACAAGACGGAAGATGCTGGACTTAAGAAGTTAAAGTTCTTGGACTTTAAAATGTGTTGATAGTAAGTCTGTCATAACTCAAGTTCAAGAACTGCAAGTCATCGTTCATGACCTCCTTGCCAAAGGTATAAATCGAATCAATATTTTCTTTTAAAGATATTGATTAGATTATTAATTCTAAATTTATGATTGTAAGTATGGTCATAAATGAAGCGTTTTAAGTTGCGGCATTTATTGAAAAGTTATCTCCAATGTGGAAGGACTTTAAAAACTACTTGAAATATAAGCGCAAGGAGATAACGTTGGAAGACCTTATTGTTAGCTTTAGGATTGAAGAGGACAACAAGGCTGCAGAAAAGAAGTTTCGTGAAAATTCAACAATAATGGGTGCAAATATTGTTGAGGAAGCTTCGACGAGCAAAAAGAGAAAGAAGTCGTTTGGACCAAAGAACTATCCAAGCAAAAAGAAGTTCAACGATAATTGCGACAACTCTGGAAAGGTTGGATACAAGGCTGCTGAATACCGTGCACCAAAGAAGGACAAGAAGAAAAGCCAAGCAAACATGATTGAGAAGAATGATGAAATATACGACTTATGTGACATGCTTTCGGAATTCAACCTAGTCGGAAATCTTAGAGAATGGTGGATTGATTCAGGGGCAACTCGTCATGTTTGTGCTAACAAGAAATTGTTTACTTCTTATGCTCCCGTTGGACCCGGCGAGACAGTTTTTATGGCAAATTCCGCTACTGCAAAAATTAAAGGAATGGGAAAGATAGCTTTGAAGATGAGTTCTAGCAAGATTGTGACTCTAAATAATGTCCTTCATGTTCCTGAAATGCGGAAGAATTTAGTATCGACATCACTTCTAGACAAGAACGGCTTTAAGTGTGTTTTTGTTTCTGACAAGGTTGTAGTTAGTAAGAATGAAATGTATGTAGGAAAAGGTTACCTTACTGAGGGCCTTTTCAAACTCAATGTAATGGCCTTTGACATGAACAAAATTTCAGCTTCTTCTTACTTGCTTGAGTCGAATAATTTATGGCATGAACGTTTAGGCCACGTCAACTTCAAAACTTTGCCAAAAATGATTAATTTGAAAGTATAGCCTAAGTTTGAATGCAATAACTCAAAATGTCAAATATATGTGGAATCAAAGTATGCTAAGCATCCTTATAAGTCAGTTGAAAGGAATTCAAATCCTTTAGACTTAATTCACACAGATATTTACAACATGAAGTCAATACCATCTCGCGGTGAAAAAAAGTATTTCATAACTTTTATTGACGACAGTACTAGATATGGCTATATTTACTTACTTAATAGTAAAGATGAAGCAATTGATGCATTCAAGCAATACAAAAATGAAGTTGAAACGCAACTAAACAAAAAGATCAAAATGATAAGAAGTGATAGGGGTGGCGAATATGAATCTCCTTTTGAAAATATATATTTGGAATATGACATTATTCACCAAACAACTACCCCTTACTCACCGCAATCTAATAGAATTGCAGAAAGAAAGAATAGAACGTTAAAGGAGATGATGAATGCCTTGTTAATAAGTTCTGGTTTACCTCAGAACTTGTAGAGGGAAGCTATTCTTACAGCTAACCGAATACTCAATTGAGTTCCCCATAGCAAAACGCAATCCATTCCATATGAAAAATGGAAAGGAAGGAAACCGAACTTAAAATATTTTAAGGTGTGGGCGTGTTTGGCTAAAGTGCAAGTCCCTAACCCAAAAGGGTAAAGATTGGACCAAAAATCGTTGATTCCGTTTCATAGGATATGCAACAAATAGTAAGGCCTATCATTTTCTGGTTCATAAATCAGAAAATCCTGACATTCATATTAATAAGGTAATTGAATCAGATAATGCTGAATTCTTTAAAGATATTTATCCGTATAAAATAAAATGTGAGTCGTCTAGTGAAAAATCTAAGCGGCCTCGGGAAGAAGAAAATGAAAGTACTTTTGATGAGCAAAATCCAAGACGTAGTAAACGTCAAAGGACAACTACTTCCTTTGGACCAGATTTTCTGGCATTCTCATTAAAAAATGAGCCTCAAACGTTCAAAGAAGCAATGTCTTCCTTAGAAGCACAATATTAGAAAGAGGAAGTCAATAGTGAGATAGAATCCATATTAAGTAATCATACTTGGGAAATGGTTGATCTTCCTCCAGGAAATAAACCTTTGGGTTCTAAGTGAATTTTCAAAAGGAAAATGAAAGCTGATGGTACTATTGACAAATATAAGGCAAGATTAGTTGCTAAAGGGTTTAGACAACGAGAAGGTCTTGATTATTTTGACACATACTTGACGGTAACAAAGATTACATCTATCCGGGTGTTAATAGCGTTAGCCGCCGTATATGGCCTTCAAATCCATCAGATGGATGTGAAGACAACCTTCTTAAATGGAGATTTGGAGGAAGAAATATATATATAGAATAACCTGAAGGGTTTGTAGTTCCCGAAAAAGAAAAGAAGAAGTGTCGACTTGTTACGTCACTTTACGGACTAAAACAAGCACCAAAATAATGGCATGCAAAAGTTGACCAAACAATGTTGTCAAATGGTTTCAAGATCAATGAGTGTGACAAATGTGTTTACATTAAGAATACTCCAAATCAAATAGTCATTGTTTGAGTATATGCGGATGATATATTGATAATGAGTAATGGCATTGCTAACATAAATGCTACTAAGCACATGCTTACTAGTAAGTTTGATATGAAAGACTTAGGAGTTGCCGATTTAATTTTGGGTATTAAGATCCTTCAGACTCCTCAAGGTCTAGCTTTGTCTCAATCTCATTATATTAAAATGGTACTTGAAAAGTTTAATTATTTGGACTTTAAAGTTACACGAACGCCAATTGATTTAAACCATACTCTTGTAAAGAATAAAGGTCAAAGCAAATCTCAATTGGAATACGCTCGAGTGTTGGGAAGTTTGATGTACATTAAGAATTGTACGCAACCTGATATAGCTTGTGCAATAAGTAAGCTTAGTCGATACACAAGTAATACTAATCAAGCTCATTGATTGGCAATGAAACGAGTTTTAGGATATATTGAATATACCCAAGACTATGCATTGCATTACAATAATTATCCAGTAATGCAAATTGGATCACCGGATCAACAAAATCAAAATTCACAAGTGGATATGTTTTTACCGTTAGTGGAGGAGCAGTGTCTTGGAAGTCCTCCAAACATACATGTGTCGCCCGCTCTACAATAGAGTTTGAGTTTTTAGCTTTAGATAAGGCCGGTGAAGAAGCTGAAGGCTCCATAATTTCTTGAAAGATATTCGATTTTGGCCCAAACCTTTGGCACCTATATGCAACATTGCGACAGTCAAGCGGCAACAGGAAGGGCTGGGAGCGTTATGTATAATGGGAAATCTCGTCACATACGACAGAGACATAATACCGTTAGATAACTACTCTCTAGTGGAGTTATCACAATTGACTTAGTAAAGTCAAAAGATAATGTATCGGATACACTTACAAAAGTCCTAACTAGAGAGGCGGTTGAGAAGTCATCAAAGGGAATGAGATTATGGCCGAGGACAAGTCACTATGGCGGTAACTCTACCTAGAAGAATGGAGGTTCCAAGATCTAGGTTCAAGGAGATCAAACAAAATCATTAGTGACGGTTCAACATTGTTAAATAATTTTTTTTTGGTCCATTCTCATGATGAAGACAATGTTTAGTTTGATCACTTGTTTTCCAAGAAAACATTTTCCGTTATACCAAACACACTCTAAGTTTCTGGTTCTCTCTCACTCTTCTTCTTCTTCTTCTTCTTCTTTTTTTTTTTTAATTTTTTTTTTTAAAGAAAAGAAGAAGAAAAAGAATAGAAACAAAATCAATAATTTATGAAGCAGTTACATTGGTATTACTTTTATACCTCGTAGGAAAGGACAAGTATGTAAGCACGAAATAGAAATCCTTAAAATTATTTTTATACCTGGACGTTCTTTATATTTATTAATACTCTTTTATTTTTTTGTCTGTACTGAAAAATAAAATTAGATTTTTTTTTATATTAGAAGTAATTTAACTTTAAGTTTTTTATTTTATCCTTAATGAAATAATTTATAATTATACAAAATATATATAACTTGTTTGAGATTACAAACTCAAAACTTTCTTTCTATTTTAACTTTTCGTACCTAGTCAAATCAATATCGGATAAATTGAGAGGAAAAGTATTACTCCATCCGTTTCAATTTATGTGAAGCTATTTGATTGGGCACGGAGTTTAAGAAAAAATGAAGACTTTTGAAATTTGTGGTCCTAAACAAGTCAAAAAGGGCCCAGAGTATTTTTGTGGTTATAAAAGCTTGTCATTAAGGGTATAATTAGAAGTTTAAGCTAAATTATTTTCAAATTTATAAAGGAATCATTCTTTTTGGAACGGACCAAAAAGAAAATATGTTCACATAAACTGAAACGGAGGGAGTACTTAATTGTATTGGCGAAACAGTCCAAGAGCTAAGAGGCTATATTATTACTCCTCTTTCATTTAATTTGTCATAATTTGACTCAGTCAAAAGTTTAATAACTACAACAACAATAACATACTCAGTAAAATTTCACAAGTGTGGTCTGGAGAGGTTAGTGTGTACGCACACCTTACCCCTACCTGGCGAGATAGAGAGGATATTTCCAATAGACTTTTGGCTCAAGAATAGGTAAAAAGAGAGAAAGGAAGAAGACGAAGAAGAAAGAGAAGAAGAAAGAACAAAAGTTTAATAACTATAAAATAAATAAGCCATATTTTTTGGGCGACTATAGAATATTTGAAACTTAAGATTTTAAGCATATTATAATGTATTTATGTGGCTGTGATTATCACTAAGAAAACATATGAATGTATTATTTTGTGGGGACAGATAATAAAAAGGAAATGGAGGAGTATAAATTTAAGTGTCACAACCCGCCATAATAATGCAACAGCCGCCCCATACAAATAGGAGACCAGGTCGATGACACATCAATCACAATTTTGAATTTAAATTTCCTGAAAAAGAAAAAAAAAATCCAGCAGGGGATTTTCTAAAAGTAGAGTCAACTTCCTTTGTTGCGTATATAAGGTGTGTGAGAATATATGAGAAAGTTGGAATATTGAGAAGAAAAATTGCATCATCTATACAATAAAGAATTTGGGTGCTGTTTAAAGTAAATTATTCAAGATTGTTGGGGTTACAATAAGATTAATTTCGGATGGTAGTAAGAGAACAAGACTTGAGATTATTTTCTTGGATATTTGATTATTGGGCTTTTGACTGGACAATAAAATCAAGTTGGAAAAGATGACATCTTCAGCAGTGAATTTGGTGATGACTGTGATTGGGTTTACAGTGAGTACCATATTCATAGTATTTGTGTGCACAAGGCTAATTTGTGCAAGAATTCAATACCTGACACGGCGCTCTTCTAATTCTGCACATACTTCTAGATCTGATCTTAGCATTGTAAGTACTGTAATTGCATCATTTCTGATTTAGCTGTACTACTTTAGTAGTATTATGTTCTTTTTCTTGTTAATAATTTATTTATAATGAAGTTGGTGCGGTTGACCTTATTGTACTATTGAAACTATGGGTTCAAAATTTAATATTTGTTGAAATTTTAGTGATTAGTTACATATGTATATCTATGCTTCGTGTTGGAAATATTGGGGGTTCAATAGAACCCGTAGTGCAGAGGGTACATCCGCCTCTGAATATAGCCCACAAGAACAGTTGTGACCTGCTCACCAAGGTTGGAGCAGACAGTAGTGAAGACAGAAGTTTTATTAAGAGGATTCAGAAAATGTTCTCCTTTGTTTAGGGGATTCAACAATATATATATATATATATATATATATACACGAAAAATATTTTCAGCTATACATAGTAAAATTTTCCGGCGAAGAGGATTCAGCTGAATGGCGGAGCCTCTGGGAGCAGATAGGCTCACTCAGAGTTATAGCTGGGAGTTGTCCTTAGTTTTCCTTGTTGTTTTATGTTTGGTACCTTTTTGTTGGGAGATACTAAATTATAGTTGGGGTAACATCTGATGATGACTGTAGTTTTGATCGGTTCACAGTAGTCTCGGTGGTATATAATCATGTAGCTCACTTGGGTCTGTGATGTTTAGTTTGTTAGGTTTTTGGACTTTTAGGATGCTTTATGGCTTGTCATATTCTTTGATTTGAAACCTTTTAAACTTCAACTTGTCTTAGAACTCCTTTGGTCTGTGTAGCCAATAGCTCGAGAATATCGTCTTTCTACTCTGAAGCAGAATGATTTTTTTCTTGTGAATCACCTGTTCCTGTTTAATCGGTGCAGGTGGAACGTGGTTTACATGGCCTGGAGCCGCTTGCTGTTGCCAACTTTCCAACAAAGAAGTATAGTGATGCATTTTTTACCTTTGCAGAAGATACTCAGTGAGTTGAATCTTTTTTCCCAACTCATATATTGAACGAGCTTACATAAGTGGCAGTTGTATCTAGTTGGTTCTTTTGACTTCTTCATGAAGTGTACTATTTTAATTGTAGATTCCGGAAAACAAGTTTATGTTTGATGAAGGCAGGATATATAAAATTGGTCCCTTATAGTCGTATGATAGATATGTTTTTAGATTACGTTGTCATTGACAACTCGTGAAGTCCATGCGAGTTAAATCTTAATAAGGCAGTTATACGAAACTTTTAAGATTTTAAGCCAACAACATTGCGGATGACTGATGAGTGGGACAGGGACATGGTGAACACTTTGACACTTGCCTTTATTATGTCATAATCACCTTCATTGAGATTTTGATAATTTTTTATCATTTTTTCTCTGAACCATGGTTTAGATTGAACGAGTTAGAAATGAAGAAAGAACTGGCTGCTTGTGCTAACACGAGACTGTTGACATCCATTTGTAAATTGTCTTAGTTTGGTGTATGGTTTGAACAGATAGTTAGTTTGGTGTATGGTTTGAACAGATAGTTTTGGACAAGCTTAAAGCAGCCTCAATAAGTTTTTCCGGAGAGGCCACCAAAGATTCAGTGCAGCAGCACGTCCGGGGCTGCCTACACTCCTAGTCTCCTACACAATAAGTGTGGGTTTGATACCTTATCAAGGATATGCATGTGTTCCCCTCCTGTTCCCTTCTGATACCCCTCATCATCATTGCTCAGAAGAGGAAAAAATGATTTATTACAGCGTTATTGGCTTCTTTAGGAAGAAAAAGTCAAATCAGATATGACACGCTGACCTGCTACTCCTAGCTGATAATTTTGTGTGTGTGTGGGGTGGGGGGGGGGGGGATATGGATTATAATTTGGAGATGGAATCAACATCTTTTCGCTTGTGTTTCCCTTGTTAGATACGCCATTGCAGAGACGAGAGATTGCACATATTGGGATTATGCTTAAGAAAATCCTTTCCTTGAACTTGGCCTTTGCTATGTATATGATATTGGAGCAATCAAAGCACACACTGACCTACTCATTTTCAGATGCATCTTCCACTTTTTGATTGAAGGACTGGGACGGGGATACCCCAGCTAACACTAGGATTGGCTGTTCTTTTATCATTTATACTAGACCCTTTAGCTTTGGATGGTGCCATTTTAGCTCACTAAAACCTATATTTTCAGCAACAGAAGCTGTCCATTCATTTACCTGTTGCAGAGCCATCTGAATCTCTTCTTTCCTCTATGTTTTTGTTTGAAGATTCTTTAGTTAATTATCTCGTTAAAACAACCATCATTTTGACCTGAAAATCCTGCTAATTCAAATCTTATGGAGAAAGTCTTTTCGTAGATTTCTTTCTTGCAAAAGGCGTCCGTTGTTAGCTTTTTAAGTCGGATCAAATCTGCTTCCCAGAATTCCTACTTTCCGAGCTTGTTCAATTCTGTGTTGAGAACCTCAAAACAATGCAAACTAAATTTATGTAAAGGAAGTGTAATCAGAAGCTAAGTTGCTCGGATACGGGTGCGGATCTAGAGGTCAGATCCTTCGAAATATAAATTCTAAGATTTGGGATATGGATACGGGTGCGGGGATCCGACTAAAAATAATTCTATATATATATATATATATATATATATATATATTATGAGAAATTTTGTGGAATACTTACGTATAGCTTGTAAAGTGTAGATTTCTTTTTTGTTCACAAGTTGTAGTAAGTAAAGGATTGATTTCCTAGATAATGTATGCTATTTTCTTCAAATTTACCCTAGTTTTGCATCTAATTTCGGGAATCAAATTGTATCTCGTCTCAAATTTTTCTGTCCGTCGTGGTCAAAGTACCCAAAATTGTCTGACCAAATCCTGTTCGGATCCCATACCCACACCCATACAAGTGTCGTGTCGACACAGGTGCGGCACCTAAACTGCCGTGTCGGAACAACTTAGATCAGAAGCACCGAAAGATTAGACAGTTCAGTTTATTATGAAAGGAAGGTGCTAAATGAACACAGCAAAAAAGTAGCTTACAGCGGAGGATCGTCTAGCATTATGTTATACTTCTTGAACCTATGGCATCCTCCTGTATTACATGAACAAATTTTCTCTGGAGTATAAAACTTCAGATTTTCCGCGTATCAAGCTGTAATTTTATTCAAGAGGCAAGGGAGTAATAGCTGGCACTTATTTCAAATGCAGACCATGCTAGCAAAATGGATTGGATTACACAATATCAGTGACAAGATCAACAAATTAACAACTTAAAAACCTAGGTCTTGGTTTGTCAACAAAATACTGCGGCTACCAGATAGACAAAAGTTCTTTAGTCTTTCTTCAAGCCTTGTCCGAGCAAAGAAAAGAAAATACATCTCTAAAGGCAAACACTGCAACCTACTAGTTTCCATCCTCCCTGGCTTCTTATAGAATATATTTCTTTCAGTTGAAAGTTGAGCTCAGACCACAATTAGGGGTATGCTACTTAGATTTTGTCTGCAACCTGATGTTATGTTATTATGTGAAAAGACTTTGATTTTAAGTTAAAAGAATGAACAACTTTAAATCTTATATGAGCAATGCTGTGCAGAAGATGGGAATCCTAAAGAGGAATTATTTCCTTTTTGACGCAACTTAAGATGGACTTCATACTTTCTCGTGGAGAGCTTGTTCAACTTGAATCTACTTAATGAGAATGTATTTGTAATTCAACTTTTATGGTGCAATCGTCAATTTTAAACAATCTTCACTTTTAATAGATGAAATAATCAACTATTTACGAAATTGGAAAGACGCGAGGATCAGCTGACCTTTTGCCTGGTCATTTGTGTTCACTAGTACCTACAAACTGTAAAGTAAAAGAAATCTGATGCCAAATATGCATGATTGAATCATTTGCATTGATTGGTGTTTATTTATCTAAGTTTAATGATAAGAGAGGGAGCTTCAAGTACCTTGGATCAGTAATTCCAGGGTAATGGGGAGATCGACGAGGATGTCACACATCGTATTGGAGCGAGGTGGATGAAACGAAGGCTCGCATCCAGTGTTTTGTGTGATAAGAGGGTACCGCCTAGACTTAAAGGTAAGTTCTACAGAGTGGTGGTTAGACCGACTATGTTGTATGGGCAGAGTGTTCGCCAGTCAAGAACTCCCATGTACAGAAGATAAAATAGCAGAGATGAGTATACTGAGAGGGATGTATGGGTATACTAGGAGAGAAAAGATTAAGAATGAAGTTATTTCGTACACAGTGGGAGTGGCTCCAGTGGAGGACAAGATGAGGGAAGTGATGCTGAGATGGTTCAAACATGTGAAGAGGAGGGGAGCAGATGCCCCGGTGAGGAGGTGGGAGAGGTTGGCCTTGATGGGTACGAAGAGAGGTAGAGGTAGGCCTAAAAAGTATTTGGGAGAGGTAATTAGGTAGGATATGGCGCAACTTCAGCTTACTGAGGACATGACCCTTGATGGGAGAGTGTGGAAGTCGAGAATTAGGGTAGGAGGTTAGTGAGTAGTCGAGCATATTACTATGTCGTACCAGTAGGTAGTAGCATTAGTCTTGTACTCTCGTATTCTTAGAGTTCTATTATTACCTATTATTTCTTTCGCTTCAATTAGCTTTATCTTGTTCATATGTTACTGCTTGTTGATTTATGCCCCTTTTTACGTTTTCCTTGAGCCGAGGGTCTTCGGAAACAACGTCTCTATCTTCACAAGGTAGGGATAAGATTTGTGTATACACTACCCTCCCCAGACCCCACTTGTGGGATTGCACTGGCTATGTTGTTGTAAGAATAGTTGTTGAATCAGATACTTTTTTTGATTTGGAAGATAATGTTGGATTAAAAATTCATGTATTAGGCAGTAAATGAAAAAGTGAGACTATTATTATAGCATGGATTCTCCGGTGTCCTATCTATGAAAACTCTATTGTGGTTGCGTAATGCATTGTGTACAGTAGAAGCTCATACTGGTAGGAACGCATCAACCTGTGACTTTTCAACTATTATACGCAAAGCATTAAGAATTTGTATCTTCTTGTATGTCCAACAATATGTCAAAGAAAGGGAAGAGACAGAGGATTTCTTTGGAGATTACTAGAGGTGGTATGTGTTACTTTCTGGTTTGTTTGGCCATAGAATGCTCTAATTGAGATGTGCAAGAATCAAGTATTGTATATTCTAGTGGGCTTTTGAGTTTTGTCCATAACTGATATCGTTTGAGGAGGCTGAAATTATTTGGTCACTGAAAAATTTGGTGTTGTGTAGGTCAGTTTAGAATGTTGTAGTGAGCTAGACAAGGAGATCACTAGTTTGATGGAGACTTGTACTGCTACAGGTACAAATAAAGTTTTTAAAATATTTTTCTTTTTGGGGTATAAATCATTGTAAAGCCTTTGTAGCGTCTCGGGTTACTCTTTTTGTCTCTTTATGTGAGTAAAATACTCTTCTAATCAAAAGGATATCTTTGAATCCGTGCCTTGGAAAAGGTAATTGAGAGTGCCCTAAGAGCCATTATCTGTTTAATCCAGCAAGTATGCTTTTTCTTTCATGATTCAGGAGAATTAGGAGTTGTTGAAATTCTATGATATGAAGGTGCTTTTAGTGACTTACTATGTGAGTTTATTGAGGTTAGCTGTAACATGATTTACATAATTTAAAATTTTTATACAACGCCAAGATCCCAGACAAAGTCCTCTTTATGGCCATTTTCATGTTTCTCCTGAATGTGGTGCAGCTGTCTTCTCTAGTTGAAAGGAGAGAAGAGTGTATTTTCTGGTGTGAATTAGGAAGATATATCACTTGCTGCATTTGTCTTGTAATCTATAAGTATGTATGCAAGTAAAAAAGATGCAGCGTGTGTGTGTCTGTGTTGAATACCATGTCTGACACAATACATGGGTGACATGTCCAACATGCATCCCGAAATAGAGTATAATGGATATAGAGAATCCATATGGCCGATTCCAACTCGTTTGAAGTTGAGGTATAGGTAATTATGAATTGGTAGTATATCATTATTCAACAGCTGAACAAATGTGGAAGTAACATGTATTCTCTTTATCCGATTACGTGATAGGATTTAAAGAGATACCGTTCATGAGTTTGTCCTGAAATGGAGATTTTTTGTTTATGTTGTTTTGTTATTCATGGTATCAGTGTCTCCTCTAGTGTACTTTTTGAAATATTCAACCAATCACCTTCTGACTGCCTTGTGTACTTCATTGACATAGATGCACAGTTTGCCTTGCCGAATATCGGGAGGAAGATACATTACGTATTTTGCCATTATGTGGGCACTATTTCCATGCCACGTGTATTGACATATGGTTTCAGCAGCAATCCACATGCCCAGTTTGTCGAATTTCCCTACGTGAGACTGTTGAGAAGAAGTGCTTTATGCAACCCTTGTTTAGTTCAGCTGTCCGATCTCACTATGTGACGGACTCTCTGAATGTCAATTCAAACCAATGCTCGTCATCAGGGCAGAGGCTTTCTTCAAGATTACACGATGGCCAGAGAACAAACCACACTACAGAGAGTGCATCAAATGCATAAGCCTTTAGGCCACATGAGTATAAATGGCGAAATTGGCAGAGATTGAAAGGTATTTACAATGTTGTGGTAACATTAATCTAATTATCCACATTTTGCTCATGCGTTCTTTTAAGTATAGCAAGCTGATGTCTGTATACAAATATACAATGGACCTAATGTGATTCGGCCGTTTCCCGAACCCTACCTGTACATAACAGGAGCTTAGTGCATCGGACTGTCTTTTCTTATAGCAAGGCGATGCCTTTTTTTTGTCTGCCTTCTTTTGTATGCTATACAGCAGCTGGGGTGGATAGCTTTTTTGTAAGTCAAGTCAGGGTAAACATTTTTTTTCCTTTTTGTAAATAGTTTTGGTTTAGGTGGTGATAGTGCTGTAGAGCCATTACTATTCTGGCTATACATTGCAAGCTAAGATACACTATTACACACTAGCTTATCAGTTATGTAATATAAATAGACAAGCTGATATGGATGTATTATGATTGTTTTGATTCATATTGATGTGTTTGCTCAAATGAAGACAAAGAAACATGGCAGTTAAGTTGCCACAATAATTGATAGCTATACCAAAATTTTTTTTGGGCAACAACAATTTTAAAGCTGTACATTTTTTTAAAATTTTAAAATCAAGGGGAAGGGGATAGTGAGAATTGAACACACAAAAATCAGCATTTTGATGGGTGTTACCCTTCCCCAGACCTTTGCGTGATGCTTCGTGCACCGGGCTGCCGGTGATGCTTCGTGCACCGGGCTGCCGATATGGAAGTGATGTATCATTAATGTTGTTTTAAGTTTGTAGTTTGATTCCTTCTCCTCTTAAGACCAAGTTTTTTTGTCTTAAAGTTCTTGAATTTTCAGTGGGATTGATTAAAAAAAGGGCAGCCCGATGCACTAAGCTCTCGCAATGCGTGAGGTCTGGGGAAGGGCCGCGCCACAAGGGTTTATTGTACGCAGTCTTATCCTGTATTTCTGCAAGAGGCTGTTTCCACAGCTTGAATCCATGACCTCCTAGTCAGATGGCAGCAACTTTATCAGTTAGCCAAGGCTCCCCTTCTTGAATCCATATTGAATTGGGGATTGAACCCGATGTGAACCAAACATGCAGAGGGCTAGCTTTGGTGTTACAATAAAGGAGTAGAGAAGACTCAATTGGCTATCGGTCCATCAAAAGAGGGAAGCGTCACCTATCAAGATTTTTTTTGTTCTCATAATTCGAACTCGATATCTCTGATTAAGAGTGATAATGAATTCTATCATCCCACCACAATCCTTGATGGCGGTCATTAAGATTCAATTTGTGATGCTGTGATTAAAATGGTAGCTTTTGACCACTCATCTCACCCCTTGAGATAAAAGATTGTTTTGCTATTTCTGTGAAAATGTTTTGAAAAGTACTGAAAGGAGGAAATAAAAACAAGGAATAGGCATTGCCGGCTTATTTTGAGGCATAGCAATAACCTTTTCGTCCAACCAAAAATGGCACACATTATAATGCCAGTGGTCCTCTACACTCTTCTTTCTCTTTTCATAATTTAGTAGTACTTTTTTCCATCACAATTCTCAAAATTCTATATTTTTATTAATTAAATTTGTTTTAAAATATTTAATATTTTAATAAAATAAGAATGAGATGATTAATCTTTTCAAATCTATTATTATTATTATTATTATTATTATTATTATTATTATTGGAGCGTGTAATTCATTGATAAAAGATGATTTATATTACTTTTATGATTAAAGCTATTAAATATCTTTCTAATAAGGGATGTGTAAATAAAAATATTAAATAACAAATAGTAAACAAAAGTGCTTCTTAATGCAAACAGCTATACAATTTGGCTTTGTGATTTTAGGACGTGATTATACTAAAGTTTAATTAACGCGTTGCGTTTTCAGTAGACTAAAGGAGAAAAGATAATCACATTATAATCGCAACCTTTTGGGTTTATATTTCATATGCAAAGTAAAACTTGTGCTTCCGTCTTCTTTTATGACACAACAAAGTGGAGTATTTCTGAATTAATAAAAGTTGATTATTGGATTGAATAGTAAAAGAAAGGGAAAAAAAGAAAAAGACATAATTCAAAGTGTTTCCTTTCCACTCTTTTCTTTTCCATTTCGATCAATCAAATTTGAAACAAAAAACTATTTCGACATAAATGGTCCAACAAATTTCCACTAGATTTTTTAATTTTTTTTTTGTGGGAGAGGGACCCTCTTTCATTTACGTTAGTTGGCAGTGTATATTAAGAATCTATTATTGTCTTGATAACGACTAACTAGTAACCAAAAAGAGATAAAGAAAAACAAAACAGAAAAATAAAAGAAACACTACTATGATGACTTCATTAAATGCTTCTCAATTTATTAGCAGTACTATTTTAATACATAATCCTTAAGCAATAAAAGCTAGTTTCACAAAATTAGACAATAAGATAAAAAGTTATGAAAAGCAAATTGAAACCCCCCACTCCCAACCCCAAAAAAAGCAAAAAAACATTTTCAACAAAAATAAATAAGGAAATATATTAAACTATCTTTAAACATAAAACCCCACTTACATTCTAGGCTTAATCTTAGCTCTTAGAGTATGTTTCATCACCACAGTAAATTCCAACTTTTCACTAAAATCCACTTTAGTATTTTCCGGGTAAACGGACCATTCGAATTCTTGAACCAATCGGGCCAACATCAAGCTCACATGAACCGTAGCCATATTCAAACCGGGGCAAATCCTCCGACCCATACCAAATGGTATCATTTTCACACCGCTCACACCAGTAATATCAGCTTCCTCCTTACCCAAAAAGAACCTATCCGGATCAAACTTCTCGGGTTCTGACCATAACTTCGGGTCATCAGATATTCCGGGTAGGAATATCTCTACATTCGCATCGGTGGGTATGTCATACCCACCTAATTTTGCTGGCTCAATTACTGCATGAGTCAGTGAAAAGTACGTAGGAGGATGTTTACGTAATAATTCTTTTATTACGGCATTTAAATATGGCATTTTTTCTATGTCCTTTTCGTCAACTTTTTTGTTGTCCCCAACTGTGTTTTTGATTTCTTCGTATAATCTTGATTGTATACTTGGGTTTTCGATAATTCTTGCTATGGCCCATTCTATTGCTGTTGCTGTTGTGTCTGTCCCACCGTTAAGGAACTCTGAACATAATGTGACTAATTCAGGATTTATTGGGGCTGAATTTCTCCCTGTTATAAAATAAAAAAATAAAAGAATAAGAAGAAAAGTTATGTGAATACAATTTTTCTTAAGGTGATATTGCACATAAAATGTTTAGAGAAATAAAAACAAATTAATTCATTTAAAATACAACAAAGCTAGGTATACTGCAAATTTTATTAATTATAGCTATTTCGCATAGAATATTTGTATTTATGGAGTTGAAAGAAATGAATTCTAAATAGTCATTTTATTTCATAAAGAGAGTGTCCCTTTTAATTTAAAACTTAAATTCAATTTAAATATAGACTCAAGCTTCAGAATAAAATTTAAATTACCGAGTCTTTTAATATATAGTAAAGCCTTTTATATTCATTTTTGCCTTCCCATGTGCATGTATATGTGTATATACACGTACGCACACTATTTCCTTTGTTTCATTTTATATAATATTATTTGACCGGATACTGAGGCGAATCTAAAGTTTGGGTTTCTAACGCAACCTTAAATTAATATACAATACGTAATAAATAAATTTACAGCGACTGTTATAAATATTTAATGGATTTATTAATATGTACATAAACCCATAGCTGGTACTCTAGATTCGTCACCGACAGAAGATGAAATTTAAGAAAGAAAGAACTTTGACTCATACCAAAAATATCCTTGAAACTTTAGACATTGACCATGCCATGTAAGTTAAAAATAAAAATTCTATTCTTTTCTAAACAGATTAAAAAGAGAAAAGTGTTACTCCATATAAAATGGAAAGTACAAACAATCTAACAATACGTACCTTCAACTTTGAGATCGAAAAGTGTGTCGAGGTACGAGAATGAAGCTGCTGTTTTATCAGATTCTGGATTGCTGAGAATTTTCCTACGTTTTTCAATGAACGGTACGATTGTCTCAATCTGTTGTTTCCGTACATCCATGGCACGTTTTCTTTGTTTGGAAAAAAATGGACTCAAAATTGGAAGATAATCATCTAATCTTGGATCAAGAACAATCAATACAGTTTTCATCATTTGATCAATTGTCTCAATCGTCTGTTCATCCATTTCTACACCAAAACACATTGCCAAAAGAATACAAAAAACAGCAAACCGAGCATTTTTTAAAACCCAAACGACGCCGTTATTTGCTTTAGCTTCCGCTTGTATTTTTTCAATCATTTTATCCATAGCGGTTTCCCTCACATTCCTAAACTCTTTTAGCTTCATTGAACTAAGCCCGTTTTGAACCATGTTTTTCCTCAATGACCGCCAGACAGGCCCGTAAACAGCTGCATTAACGGTGAACTTGTCGCAGCTGAATACGGTCCTGGTTGGGTTTTCGCGAGGCCTGCTCGCGAAAACCTGACCCTTCTGGACCAGTGCCTCGTGGACCAAATCGGCACTGGAGATAATAATCATGGTTCTTGTACCCATTTTTAGGGTAAAAATAGAACCATATTTTGGACGAAGATCTCTCACGTACTGAAAAAATGGTTTTCCAGAACGTGCTACTTGAAAAAGATTACCTACAATTGGCCATCCAGGTGGGCCAGGAGGTAAATTCAGTTTCTTTGATTTGGTTTTTCTGGAAAACAAAAAGATTAGACTAGAAAGAGCAAAGGCTAAAGCAGTGAAAATGAGATGATAATAAGGAGAGAGTGAAGAAGTTGAGAAAGAATCCATTGAAACAAAGGAAATATTGGTGAAGTGTATACTCTCAATATTTTTTTGTGTGTTTGGACAACAAAAAAAGAAAAATATAGGAGTATATAAGAATGAGAAGATAGCTTGAAATTACAGGTGGGGGAATGGAGGAATAATTAAGGCTCCTCAACAGATGAAAACTGTGGGTGTTAAATGCAGGGCATAACTAAAACCAAAGTAGGAAAACTGTAGTGGATAGAAACAAGAAATTCTATATTACTATGGATTTAAGTTATATTCATCGTAAGCTATGTTGCTCCGCCTCTCTAAAAATATTGCTGCACTCGTATCGAATTTTTAGTAAATGCATTACTTTTAGGGTATTTGATACGCACTCAACAATATTTTTAAAGAGTCCAAACAACATATATTGACAATATAATAAATTTTAATGTTATTATTATAATTCACATACTATAACAAATTTACAATTTATTTTGGTTACCAAAAATAGGAGTATAAGAAATGTTATATTAAGCTATGTTGCTCCACCTCTCAAAAAATATTGTCGTACTCGTATTAGATCTTCCAACAAATGCACGACTTTTAGAGGATTCGATCCGTAATAGACAATATTTCTAAAAAAGCCGAACAATATATAT